ATTTCTCTATTATGGAATTTCTCTAAGACCTAACTTGTAGCAACACAAATGGTATGACTCATTACTGTCACCATAGACCAGTTTGTGGGCTTAATAGTGAAGTTTCAGAGCTAACTTGAGAACCAAGTATTGGAAGCTTGAAACCTAAGCTGGGATCATACAGTAAAGAGGTTGGATGTGATGTGTATGGTATTCTTTTCTTCCATCTTTTTTTTTTTTTTTTTTTTTTTTAAGTAGGCTCCAGGGGCACCTGGGTGGCTTGGTCCTTAAGCGGCTGCCTCCGGCTCAGGTCATGGGCCCAGGGTCCTGGGATCGGGCCCCACATCGGGCTCCCTGCTCAGCGGAAAGCCTGCTTCTCCCTCTCCCACTCCCCCTGCTTGTGTTCCCTCTCTCACTGTGTCTGTCTCTGTCAAATAAATACGTAAGAAAATCTTTAAAAAAAATAAAATAAAATAAAGTAGGCTCCACACCCAATGTGGGGCTTGAACTTATGACCCCAAGACCAAGAGTCCCATACTCTACCAACTGAGCCAGTCAGGCACCCCTTCTTTTCTTCCATCTAATCAAGCATATTTGATCACACAACATGGAAAGTTTTAAAAATATCATATATAAAATATAAAAAATATCATATACAATATGAATATATATGTTTATATACTTATGGGATATAAGATTTACATGTTATATGTGTGAAGTTCTTCATTTCCATGAAAAGCCTTCTGTATCGATTAGCTTATATAGTTCTAGTGTGTCTTTAGAATAGAGATATGTACTTGTGACTTTACTTAAGAATATTTTCCAAGTCTCCAGGGAAGGAGCATGGGTATCTGTGTGTTTGAAAAGCCCCACTGGTGATTCCGAGAACCACTGTTATGATCATTCGTTTAAAAAAAAATTTTTTTAAAGATTGCATTGCCTCTCACTTTTTCTTGAATTTTGCATTTTACAGTCTTTTGTTTTTCTTATTGAGTAACCAGATCTTTTCTGCTTTTTTGCTGCGCTGCCTTTGTAATACAGCTTTGAAGACTTAAGTCGGTAATGTTATTCTTTGCTCTTTCTGTTTTATGTCATTTTAAATAGCTACGTGTCGGTGACAAATTGAAATATGCCTGTAATTTCATATACACATACTTTTTTGACAGCAGCTATTTTGCTCCATGATAAACATGCAGATTTTTTTTTCTTTGTTTTAGATATTACAAGAAGACACGATCCATTCCCCCTGGATGAGCAACACATTACATGTATTTTGTGCAATTAGTGGTACATCGAGCGACAGAGGTTATGGTTCCCCGAGATACACTGCTGAAATCTGAGGACATGCAGATGCAAAGTGACAACGAGACTGACCTTTCTCAGGAATAATCGGAGCTGTGCAAATGTTAAAATTTAAAGATTTGATATACATGGAGTGTTTCTTCCTGACACCAAAATTTTCATGCTTTCAAACAGGGTGCTTACATATTTGTAAATATTTAAGCAACTTGAAAGTGCCTGGAAAATTGCACCACTGTGCTTGGTTTGTACTTTTTTAGGTAAATCTATGTACGGAAAAGTAGAGCTCAAAAACATTCATTCAATTTGCTTAATTATTGCTTCAGATAATAATGGTACTGTGTAAAATTGTATAATGGAACACAATAAAAGGTAAAACTTATTTGTAATTAGAAGTGAAGGAAATAATACTTTGAACTTAGCATTTTTCTTGACAGGAAGCTCAATTCATGATCATACTGATCCTTGGAGAGAAAAAAAAATTGATCAAATTTCCATAAAACACGGATATTTCCAAATTGGGGAGGTAGTCTGAACTCCTGCCTGCTAGTAGTCAAGGCGAGGCTAAAGGAAACAAAAGGGCTATTTTAAAAGGAGGATTTCACAAGGAAAGGCAATACACAGAAATACCGAACTTACTGTTCCTTCAAGTTTTGAGCCAGTGATGCCAGGTGATCAAGTTGGTCTCTCTCTGCCTTCCAGGGCAAGGGATTCATATGTGACCTAGCTCTCCCTGGGAAGTGGCATTTGTTCCCAGAGCTTTCTGGGGCTATCCAGAAGGCCAAATAAAATAGTTCTGAGAAATTACAGTCAGTACATCCTATGCAACTTCAAAGCTTTCAAAGGAGCAGAGTCAGGGAGGTATTTATGTAATGACCATTTTTCTTTTCTGTGTACAAGGTTAACAAGTATCTTGATAGAACTGGCTGGTTGCAGCATTTGGGGGGGGGTCAGGGTACGTACCCACTGCAGATCTGGTGACTGCTAGCTAGGGATTCCATTTCTAACTATGAAGACCTCTCAGACTACCTACATCATTCAGGAGCCGCCGAGGTGTAAAGAACTTTTTTTTTTTTTTTAGCTTGCATTATCCATATAATTTTGGCTGCCTTTCGTGTAAACTTTAAGCGTGAGACGTATTTTCCTTATAGAGTTTAGCCAGTTTTTCAGAGAAAAAAAAAAAGACACTGAAGTCTAAATGAATCACATGGAGACTTGGCTTTTTTAATGCTTTGTGACCAAGACATCTTAGAGATGATGCTCCTGGCTTGCCGTTTTTCTTTACATGTCATCTTGAAGCGTTTAGGGGAGCATGACGTTATTTATTGAAGGTTTAATTTTGTATTTTCACAGGGGATTCAGAAGTATTTCAGAAGCGGTTTGTAATTCCTCAATACCTTGGAGTAACCCTGTAGAGTTCATTTCACCTTTAAAGTGATTAGGTGTGGTTTGTACGTGTAAGGAGCCAGCACCTAGACCAGCTGCTGCTACCTGAGAATGAAGCATCCTGGGGAAGCTGGAGTGCTCTTTAGTCAATAACTAGTCCCTCCGTGGCCCCCAGCACGGTGTTATGTACCGTGGGTACATTTTGGTCAAGTATAATAAGTGACCTCTGTGTCCAAGGAGCTTGCAATGTAGTGGAGGCAAGATGGACAGAATTAAACATGATGCAAGAATTGACAACATAAGCCAAGAACAATTGTCTGGGAGCATCGCCAGGTGAAGGCCACTGTCCATAACTTGTATCACCTCCAAGGAATGAGAGGTCACTGGACTGTAGTGTTCAGGGATGGTTTCGTGGACGAAAGGGCATTCTGAACAGGCTTTCAAAAATGCGCGGGTGTCCCAGGCAGGAGGAAGGCGGCGTGCAAAGGTGCGAAACGAATTAGCAGAAGTTCAGGGGATGGCAAGGAGATGAGTTTTGTCCAAGGGAGTGGCAGATGACATAAATCTAGAATGAAAACTTGGCCCTAGGTGGCGGAAAGCCTTGAATGGCAGGCTAATCGTGTTTGGACTTTACTCGCTAAACATGGGGCAGCCAGGCAAAGGCATTTAGACAGAGAGATCACTTGATTAAATGTTACTTTTAGGTGTTTAATCCTTTGCGTTGCTGTCAGATGTTTTTGAGGCGGAAAGAGATGGAAATATGGAAACCAATTTACAGTAATCTAGCTCAGAGACCCTAACCCTCTAGATAAGAACAAGCATGGAGAAGAAACGCCAAGTACAAGAGACATTCTGTGGAAAGCCTGGACCCGAGTTACTGATGACTCAGGAGAAAAAAGGAAGTGTTAAGGATAATTGTGTGTCCCGTGGCCAGTGAGTTCTCTAGGTCGTGACCCAATTTCACTAGGTTTCTCTCTCCAACTTTCAGACTAAGGGCAGCAAGCTATAGAGGACAAGGTGGGCTGGACTGGAGGAAGCCAGGAACGCGTGTTTGGAAACACGGCATGTAGCAGGTATCACCGTTTACATAGCTGAATGATTTCATGAAGTGATTTAGCCTCTACAAATTAATTCACATCACAGAGGGCATTTCTGCTATACCGACCGTTTCACAGTTCAGCTTGAATCCAATTCCCCCGGAAGCTTCTTTATAAAACAGGAACAAGTCACCATCGGTAGTGTTTATCACTACAGTGACAACCCAGAGAGACAAAAGTCGATGCAAATTTTCCTAGTAACCAGCTGTCGCCAGTGACATCACATCTGTGGAAGAGAGTGGTATCATATTTATGTGATCTGCCTGCCCGTATAAATACTGTAAACATCTTTTTTAAAAACGAAATAGAAAGCAGCAGTGGTAGCAACAGTCTTGGAACCTTGACCACCTTATCATAGAACTAGGGGTGACTCACTGGTTAATTAACAAACTAAATAGGTCAGCGTAACGACCCAGGCTTTTTACATACAAATACTAGTTGTATCTGAGATGAAGAATCCGAGCGACGTATTGGAAAATTAGGAGTTTCCCAACTCTTCAAAATATTAATAATCAGCTAAGTGTTTTAGGTCCCTGACCCACAAAATGGTGGGCTACCTTCAGTCTCAGTCTTGTGCTAAAAGTACACCACTTCAGCTATCAATACACAAAGGGAAAGGAACAGAATAAAAGTTGGTCGGGGATGGGGAGTGGGTTTGTGTAACAAGGCTCTTCCCCTATCCTGAGAGTTGGCCAATAAGAGTGCTTTGTTTATCTAGTTCCAATTATAATAAAGGCTTTTTTTCCCCCTCCCTAGCCACATAATGGTCGCTCTCTACGCATACGTATGTTTATCCAACTCCTGGTTGAAGTTGTGACTAAAGTCAACAAAGAGTTTTGCCTCTGTGTACGGCATTTGAAGACTTACTCTGGTATGCTCTTTCACCCCCATTTTAGCTCTAATTCCCATACCATACAAGTCACTCACTGAAAATGCATGAGTCAGTGGTTTTTAGTATATTCAGAGTTGTGCAACTATCACCACAGTTAATTCTGGAGCATTTTATCACCCCAGGAAGAAACCCCATACATCTGAGCAGCCACTCCCCATTGCCTATGAATCACCCCCCCTCCCGGCCCCTGACAACCACAAATTTACTTTCTCTCTCTGGCTTTGCCTATTCTGGACATTTCATACAAATGGAATCCTACAATACGTGGCCTTTTGTGACTGGCTTCTTTCATTGACATGTCTTCAAGGTTCCTTCATGTTGTAGCATGGCTCAGTCCTTCTTTCCTTTTTACCAGCTGTATAATACTCCTTTGGATACACCACATTTTGTCTGTTCATCAGTTGATGGACATCTGGGTTATTTCCATTTGGGGGCTGTGATGAATGCTGTGAACATGTCTGTACAAGTTTTTGGGGAGACAGGCTTTCAGTTTTCTTGGGCATATACCGAAGAGGAGAATCACTGGGCCAGATGGCAACTCTTCTGTTTAACCTTTTGAAGAACTGCCAGACTGTCTTCTCCAGCAGGAGGTGTCTAAGGGCTCCAGTTTCTCATTCCCTACAACACTTGCTATTATCTGCCGCTTTGATTATCACCTTCCTGGCGGGTGTGAAGTGGTCTCTCATTCTGGTTTTCATTTGCACTTCCCTGATGGCTGATGATGTTGAGCATTCTTTCATGTGCTGATGGGCCGTTTTGATATCCTCTCTGGAGCTGTCTATTCAGATCCTTTACCAATTTTTTTTTTTTGAAAACTGGGTTATCTTTTTATTGTTAAGTCATAGGGGTTCTTTATATATGTTCTAGAGTCCCTTATCAGATCTAGGATCTCCATATAGCTCCAATTCTTGGGGCTGCCTTCCCACTTTCGTGATGGTGTGCTTTTTTAAGTTTTTAATTTCGATGAAGTCCAATTTACTTATGTTTTCTTTGGTTGCTTGGGCTTCGATGTTGTGTCTAAGAGGACTTTGCCTAAATCAAGGTCATAGAGATGTACACCTGTGTTTTCTTCGAGTTTGATGGTTTTAACTCTCACTTTCAGGTCTTTGATCCATTTCAAGCTAATTTTTGTATATGGTACAAGGTAGGGATCCAAATTCATTCCTTTGTGTATGTTTATCCACCTGTCCTTCCACCATTTGTTGAAGACTATTCTTTTCCCCCATTGAATTGTCTTGGTACCCTTATCAAAAATCAATTGGCCCTAAATGCATGGGTTTGCTCTGGGCTCTCAGTTCTATTCCATTGATCTGTAGGTCATCCGTATTCCAATACCACAGTCTTGATTACTATAGCTTTGTAGTAAGTTTTTCAGTTAAGAAGTGTGAGTCTTCCAATTGTATTCGTTTTCAAGAATTTTTGGTTATGCTGGGGCCCTTGAATTTCCTTAAGAATTTTAAGATCAGAGCAGCTTGTCAATTTCTGCAAAAAAAAAAAAAAAAGGCAGGGAGAGCTGGGATTCTGGTAGGATTTGCTGTGAATCTATAATACAATTTGGGGAGTATTGCCATTTTAACAATATTAAGCCTTCCATTTCTTTCAATAATGTTTTAGAGCTTTCAGCGTACAAGTCTTGTATTTTGTTAATTCTGTTCCTTAACGTTTTATTCTTTTCAATGCTATTGTAAATGGAGTTGTTTTTTTATTTCATTTTCAGATTGTTCGTTGCTAGTTTATAGAAATACAACTGATTTTTTATATTGATATTGTATTCTGAAACCTTGCTGAATTCATTTATTAGCTTTAATATGGGTTTTTTTGTGAATTCTTTAGGGCTTTCTATATAACATGCCATCTGAAAATAGAGATAGTTTTATTTCTTTCTTTCCAATCTTGATTCTTTTTATTTCATTTTCTTACCTACAACCTGGCTAGAACTTCCAGTAGAATACTGAATAGCAGTGGGGAAAACAGACATCCTTGTCTTATTACTGAATGTTCCATGAAAGGGGGAGATATATGCAAAATAACCTCCAAACGCCGAAGGAGCCATAAGACTGAAGAAAAAGGCTGACAAATCCAGCCTGACAGGAAATGGTATATTAAGAGAACTTATGGTTAGATCTCTGCAATCCCACCTTCCTATATAAGACCTGCTTTTATAGCCCTATGGGCTAAGGAGTCCGCATTAGGGGACCATCCAGGAGGAGTCCTATCAAGGACATGATGCCGCAAGGGTGTACTTAAGGGTATGGTTAAACAAAGAATGTGGGAGAAAGGGACAGTGCTCAAGAAGGCTTCAGGTCACAGAGAGGTCACTGAGGCAGATTTGTTCAAGATGGCGTTAGTCTGGTTCACACACTAACTTTGGTTGAAAGCTTTTCAGTCTTTAACCTTTTTTTTTAAGTTTATTTTTTTTTTTAGTAATCTCCACACCAAACTTGGGGCTCAAACTCATGACCCTGAGATCAAGAGTCACGTGCTCTTCTGACTGAGCCAGCCAGGTGCCCCCCCCCCCGCCGAGTCTTTCACTTTTAAGTATGGTGTTAGCTGTGGGTTTTTCATAGATGCTTTTTATCTGGTTGAGGAAGTTCCCTCCAGCATGATTTGCATCTTTTCTGATCCAGTTCTCCCGGTAACCGAGATGCCTATATGACATATGGCTAAGAAATGTACTTAAGATACCCATCAAATTAGGGATGAGGCCAAGGTAGATCACGACTCACAGTCCACAGTGTTTTCAACTCTCTATACTATTTCCTATGATCTGCTACAACTTCCTGCAACTTTCTGGAGAGACACCAAAAAGTTTCTATCGCCCACTTTTTTACGGAAAAGGTAAGCTCCGTCAAGGTGAAGTCTGTGTCTGATTTTTCACCTGTTTCCCCAGAACCAAAAAGTTTCCTGGAGTGGAGTAAGTGCTTGATGAGTCTCAAATAAAGCCAGTTTAGATAAGCAGATACTTCTGAAGTCTTCCTTATATGCAAGGCGTTGTGGACAGATATCAAAACCCTCAGAGGGATTGTGGTTGAGGGAGATAAGACTTACATAAAAAGATTGTTTGAAGAGGTCTGATCATAGCAAATCAGTGGTAATGACAAGTACTTGAATAGGTCAAGACTTTCTAGATGTGGGACAGAAAAGCTTTGTGGCAGTCACTGGATGGCTCATGATCACGTGACTCATGATCTTGGGGTGGTGAGTTCAAGCCCCAGGTTGGGTGTAGAATTTAAAAAAAAATTTGTAAAGACTTTGTGGAGGAGACAGGGCATGAACATGGCATTGAGGGATGAGTAGGAATTAGCGTGTGTGTGTGTGTATGTGTGTGTGTGTTGAGAAAGTGTTTAACAGGAAGTGAAGAAATTCACTTCTTCATTTTAATTGTTATATGAACTCTGACCACTAAGACCAATCGCTACTATTTGCACAAGGAATGTGCAAATAGTGCATATAAAATCAGGCAACATTCTTCATCTCATTTTTCCCAGATTCCTTTATCCTTTGGTCTGAGACTCAAACGGAATAGATCAGCCTTTTGTTGTTGTTGTTCAGAAAACTAATGCTCAATTTGCCTCATTTCCCTGAGAGAACGTTTTCAGCCAGCCTCAGCTGATTTCTCATCTACAAGTCTCATTCTTTATGTACTGCAGGATTTTGTAATAATCACTGCTTCAGTAAATCTCTTACGGTTGGGTCTTGAAGGCTCTGGACTCCTCCTGCCTGCTGACTGCATGTGCCTTTGATAGAAAACCAGTGGAAGTTATCACATGGGCAGGTCAGGGCTGCAGTCTGGGAACTGTAGACCATTCATCACACATGTGTTTGGGAACCCATCGTGAGCCAGGTGTATGAATGATCAAGGCAGGAATCTGGGGGCAGATAGGCAGCTGGGGTATGATAATCTAGTAGATAATCCAAGGGTCGTCTGTTTCTGTCACTAACTGGACTGAGTCTTCTGAATTCTTGAAGGGAAAACATCTTCTGTATTTTGGAGGGACGTAAATAATGGTGCCTAGCACTGGCAGATGTGAACATTTAATACAGCAAAGCAGAAACAAAGCCAATATAGATGTGGGGTTATGTTCGATGCGAAGCTGACCGGGTCCTATGGTACTCATGCAGTGCATTACTTCAGGATTTTTCCATAGCCTAGTGAGGATCCGAGATGTCTCCAGAGCCACTGTAATAGCACGACAATAGTACCATGCCCTCCCTCCTCATCCTGAACCACATTTAGACACACGCATGAAAGAAGACGGAGACTGAGAGAGGAGAAAGGGCTGAGTTGACAAAATCACCTCCATCAGAGCAAGTACAATGACAACAAAAGACTTCCAGAGGGAAACGTTGCTGTACTTCGTTCCCCCACCAGCCCCAAGTAGTTACAGGAGCGGCTGAAGACAATTCAAGTCACATGTAAGAGTTGATTTTCCTGGGAATAGTTTTGGATATTTACACAGAATGTTTTGTTTCTGAAAATAAGGTAACCCCACTCCCACCACCTCCTCTTCCTTTATTATAGGAACAGAACTCAATCAAAATTTCAGCCCTCGAAAGAGAATCTTCAGGAGGGAAAATTCCAATGCCCTCCTCATTGGTTTAACCATCTTGTGATTTTTCTCATTTCTCTTCGAATTGCCGCTGCCATGATGGCCCCCAGGGATGTTTCCTGGTAACTGTGCTTTTAGATGAGACTCCTTCGTGGGGATGGGCTAGTTCGGGGTCCCCGTAGCCTACTCAGGAGGTTTGGTCGCTCTCTAATGATGGGTCTCGTTTTGAGAACTTTGGCACTTCCTCTCTAGAGCATATAGTGGTTAAGCGCACGGACTCTGAAGCCCGACCCACTGACTGAGAATCCCAGCTCCCACAGAGCTGTGGGACCCTGGACACGTTAACCCCTCTATGCCTTCCTTTTCTCATCTCTGAAATGGAGGGACGAGTTATACCTACGTCCTCACATGAAAATTCAACAAAGTACATAAAGCATAGAGAATGAAATCTGGCATGTCTATATATTGCTATACCCATGTACGTGTTAGCTAGAACTATAATCTACCCCAAAGCATAGCAGGATTTTGCCAGCCACCATACCTTCCATATCTCTAGACCCATCCCTCCATTCTAAGTGGAAGTAGGGGTGGGGACAATGGATGGGTCAAGGTCAGGCCATTTTTACCATTTGGTATTCCACAGATCACCTCTGGCCTCACTAGACCTCGCCATATGATGGAGATCTGTGCCCTCCTGCAGGGGCCTTATCACCCTCGTGGTACAGGTGCCAACAAATGTACACAGGTGCTGGCTGGTAAGTGCTGCCATATTGGTACCTCCTGGCTGAATATCAGCCTTGCCCCTGTGTCCATCTTTCTGAACAGAATCCACTTATTTAGAGGCTCCATACACATCTGAGCACTAACGGGTGCTCCCTTATGCCCCCGCAACTTAGGACCTCTCTGCTTCGTGGCACCTCCTCCGACCTTCCTCCACTATGAGGACTAGGAAAAGTGATTTCGGATTTGAAATTGAACTCGTGCCGTGCGCCCCCTCCGTATTCCCTCTCTAGGGTCTCTAACACACAGCCTCCTTCACCCGAGTTTAATTTATATCTCTCATCTGGATTTCTGCTGTCAACACTCACACATAACTATTTGGCAGCTCTCGAGGCGCCTGAGGGGCTCGGCGGTTGAGCATCCGACTCTTGATTGCGGCTCAGGTCAAGATCTCAGTGTTGTGCGATTGAGTCCCATGTTGGGTCTGCTTGGGGTTCTTTCTCCCTTTCCCTCTGCCCCTCCCCACTGCATGCTCTCTAACAAATAAATGAAATCGGGGCGCCTGGGTGGCTCAGTCGTTAAGCGTCTGCCTTCAGCTCAGGTCAGGATCCCAGGTTGCAACCGGCTCCCTGCTCAGCGGGGAGCCTGCTTCTCCCTCTTCGTCTGCTCCTCCCCCCACCTCCCATTCGTGCTCTCTCTCAAAATGAATTAAAAAAATAAAATCTTACAAATAAATAAATAAAATATTTAAAAAAAAAACCCATTCTGCAACTCTCTTGAAATAGATCAGAAAGGTTCTCAGAATTCCCCTTCCCCATCTCTTACTCATTTCTCTGTAGCTCTAGAAACATAGAAACCCTATAGGGGAAACTTTGCCCAACCAAGCTTGTTGGAAGACATTTTATGCTCACTTGGGGTGATGGGGCTTGGAGCTGAGGTCTGCTGGTTCCTTCCTGCATTTTACTTATTTTTTTAAAGTCCTCTCTACCCCCAGCATGGGGCTCGAACTCACGGCAAGATCGCCACAGGCTCTGCCGGCTGAGCCAGCCAGGCGCCCTTCCTTGCATTTTAGTCAAGTGCTGGCCCCTGCCTCCCAATCCCCTCCTCGACTGTCCTCCCGTGCTCAGTTCTTTCCTTTCGTCAAGGGCACCTCCACACACCTATGCTGGGCACACTAGGCTCCCGCCGTCCGCTGTCTGGATGACCCAGTCTCCACAACCATGGCCCGTGAGTCCCGCTCAGCTCACCTACGGGCATTTCAGTAAGTCTGCAAGCTGCTGCAACTCAGGGACACTGACATTTAGCCAGGATCGGCCGAGTCTTCACGAGGTAAACTTCCTGAGGTGGAAATGACCGTAATTTCCCTTTCTTCACCCAAGAATCTGAAACCCTTCTCAGAGATGGATACCTTTCTGCCCTCGGGTTCCCTCCCTGCCATGCATTCCCCAGCAAGGATTTCCGCCTTCAGATGGTCATGAGCAAATCTGTCTCTGCCCCTGCTCTGCTGCTTCCCCCTGCATGGACGTTGGGCCATCCTTAGGAAGTCAGCGCCCTCACCAACCCACCCCCTCTACCAGGATGTGGCAGAGTGGGGGTGGGGGTATCTCGCACTTCCCCTTTCCAGGAGGCCAGCAGCGCCTTCACCACTGGCCCCCTGCTGGCTGATCTCACATGCTCACTTTGGTTATTAGTTTGCTTCACGGTCACTTGGATCTTGGAGCAGTGGTTCTTCATTGGGAGTGATTGTGCTCCCCTGGGACATTGGGCAATGTCTGGGGACATTTTTAGTTGTCACAATAGGAAGTGGGCATGCCACTGGCATCCAGTGGGTAGAGACCGGGGATGCTGCTAAACATCCTACTATGCACAGGCAGCCCCCCGCCCTGACGACAAAAGTCTCCCCAGCCCCTAATGTCAGTAGTGCAAGAGTTGAGAAACGCTGTCTGAGAAAGACTGCCTGCCTCACTGGACTCCTTGATGGCCACTCCACCGGATGGCCTGTCCTCAAGGACCCTCTAGCTGGTCATCCCACCAAGAAGCCCACTGGGAGATCCCTTTCCTACTAGTGACTGTTCTTACCCTCGGTTGCCATCATCTGTCCCCTTGCGTGCTTGCAGGCTGCAAGCAGTAGCGGTGCACCTGACCTTCAGGTGTAACCCTGACTTGGGCTGCAGGTTGGCTATGCTTGAGGTCTGCCTCCCGATCTCTGTAGCTATTCCTTCCCCTTTCTAGTGAAGTCTTTCTCGCTACCAGCAACCCTCCCAACAGTTCCAGTTCTCTTGTGGCCGCCGCCTAGGAAGCACTTTAATTCTTTAATTCCCTTGATAAAACAACACCCAAGTCCTCTTAAGATATTAGCCCTGAAGGAAAAGCAGTAGGTTGAGAGGACTGTCTACTGAAGGGTATAAAAATCAAATCCGTCCTGGGGGCGCCTGGGTGGCCCAGTCGGTTAAGTGTCTGCCTTCGGTTCAGGTCATGGTCTCAGGGTCCTGGGATCAAGCCCTGTGTCGGGCTCCCTGCTCAATGGGGACTCTGCTTCTCCCTCTGCTTCCAGTTCCCCCTGCTTGTGCTCTCGCTCCCTCTCTTTTTGTCAAATAGATAAACAAAATTTGAAAAGAAAATCAATAAGGAAATATACCTTGTTACAATTATAAAGATGCCACTTCTTTCCTAAATATCTGTAATTTCAGTCAACACCACCCCCCCCATCAAAATCCCAAAAGGATTGTTTTCAACTTGACAAAACAATTCTACAGTTGGTCAGAAAGAATAAAGATGCAAGAATAGCTAAGAGAATACCCCTAAAAAAGTGGAAGGTCTCACAGACATTAAAAGGAATAAATAGCTAATGAAAACTGGGCATTTCCAGAAGAACAAAGTTAGAGGACTGACATGACCCAACTTCCAGCCTTACTATGAAGTGATAGTAATCAAGACATGTGATATTGAAGAAAGAAGAGAGAAAGATCCATGGGACAAAATAGGGAGCTTAGAAATAGACCCTCATAAGTAGTCAACTGGTCTTTGACAAAGGAGCAAAGGTAATACAAGGGAGTAAAGACAGTCTTCTCAAGAAATGGTTGAGGAATAACTGGACATCCACATGCGAAGGAACAAATCTAGACACATACCTTCCACCCTTCATAAAAATTAACTCAAAATGGATCACAGATCTAAATGTGAAATGCAAAATGGTAAAACTAAGAAAGTTTAAAACTCTTAGGAGATTACATCGGAGAAAACCTAGATGACCTTGGGTAGAGGGGTGCCTTTTTAGATACACCAAGGACAGATCCATTGAAGAAAGAACTAATAAGCTGGACCTCATTAAATTCAAACACGTCTGCTCTTTGAAAGACAGTGTTAACAGAATGAGAAAAGGCACTGGCTAGGAGAAAATATTTGCCTCCACCCCCAAAAAAGGAAGTAACAAAGATATTCCACATCCTATGTCAACACGAAAATGCAAATTTCAACAGCCATGAGATAACACTACACACCTATTAGAATGGCGAAATCCAGGACATGGGCACCACCAAATGCTGGCAAGGATGTGGTGCAGCATGAACTCCATTTATTGCTGGTGGGCATGCAAAATGATACAGCCATGTTGAAAGACAGTTTGGCAGTTTCTACAAACTGCACATACTCTTACCATATGATCCAGCAATCACACCCCTTGGTATTTACCCAAAAGAATTGAAAACTTATGTCCACACAGAAACCTGCACATGAATATTTATAGCAGCTTTATTCATTACTACCAAAACTTGGAAGCGACCAAGATGTCCTTCAGTAGGTGAGTGGAGAAACTGTGATACATCCAGACAATGGGAGATTATTCCAGGCTAAAAAGAAATGAGCTGTCAAGCCATGAAAAGACACGGAAGAACCTTAAATGCTTATTACTAAGTGAAAGAAGCCAATCTGAAAAGACTGCATGGTGTAGGATTCTAACTATGGCATCCAGGAAAAGGCAAAACTAGGGAGATGGTAAAAAGATCAGTGGTTGCCAAGGGTTGGGGGTGGGGAGGGGTGAAACTACTCGGTATGATATAATGATGGACACGTGTCATTATGGATTTATCCAAACCCATAGGATGTCCAACACCAAGAGGGAACCCTAATGCAAGCTATGGGCTTTGGGTGACAATGATGTGTCAATGTAGGTTTAACAACTGTGACAAAGGTACCCCTCTGGTGGGGGATGTTGATAACGGGAGAGGCTATGCATGTGTGGGAACAGGGGATATATGGGAAATCTCTGTACTTTCCCCTCAATTTTGCTGTGAACCTTAAAATGCTCTTTAAAAAAGTAAGTCTCAACAAATGTTTTAGAGACTGGGCATTTGCTAATATAGAAATAGGCAGAAAGATGTAACAGAATAGATCCA